ACAAAACAATTGAGTTGGGAGAAGTGTAAACAAAATAATACCTGAAAGGAGAATGCATCATGACATGAAGTGATGGTTTGCGCGCCACCATGACCCAGAGAGCTAAACAGAATGGATTTCACCGCCGCGGACCAAATCACATAAAAAAGGTCAATGGGTAAATGCCAGATAATGCTCGGCTTCATAAGGCCAGATGAGTGGGCACCTCCTGCTTTCTCTTGACCATCCGCCCCCCGTCCTTCAAGAAATTGCTCCAAGATAGGAAGCACCGGCCTATCGATCGAAAAGCCCTAGCTATAGATTTGGGAGTGGAGCACTTAGGGTTTCTCCCAAAAATGAGAGAACAGCTCGTATTTCACCAGAGCTACCGTCTGCCAATAAGGTACTATCTAGCACAGCGTCATATTGGGTGCATTAAGCTCGGGGTCAGTCCCAAAAGTCGAACCGATAGATAACTAAAGCATCAGACTAATTAACTAAACAACAGACAAAAGCGAAATCCCAAGGCCTTACGTGACAGATCTGTAGGAAAGTCCCACGGGGTTGCTTCGGTCACGTTCCCGCCTTGGATCTACGCCCCACTGCCGGGTAGGTAAGACCTTTTAGTTAAAGGTTCCGGTCACAATCCATGAAGAAAAACCTCCTCGTTGGTTTGGGCCAACATGAAATGTATCCTACTCCAAATTCTCAGACAAGCATTTGAAAGCCCTCGTTTTGATCTCTCCGATTTTTCCGTTCAGTCTGAAAACATAGGAGCTATTTACGGTCACGCAGAGTTTGACCAGCAAGTTACTGGATTGAAAAAGCCAAAGGTGGTCCGACTCGAACCTGACAGCAGAGTACGAAAACTCTGACCAGTAGACTCGGTGACCAATGTTGTGTTAAGGGATTGGGCAAGTTCATCTTACTGTTTCACCTTATTTGGTGAAGCGACAGAGACAGCAGAATAGTTATGCTACTTGAGCAGCTGCAATTCATCTGGTCGACGAATCACAGGTTAAGTTTCGGTAAGCATGTAAAATGCTCGGTTGTCAACTTGAGATATCTATGGGACCGATGTGAAAGCCGACTGTCTGTGAAGGGTCGAGCGCATAACGCAGAGACTTGGACGACCAAATGGGTAACTAAAAGACAGCACCCAAAACCATCATGAAACAGTGCAAGGCTAATGGTTGTGAGAATTGAAGTGAAATACGTGCACGAATCTATTCGGTGCACAGGATTTTGCAATGAATTACCGTGGATCAACAGAACACACCTTTCTATGCATCATTTGCGGCAATGAATGAGCGGATACAAAATCTGAATGGTCTTTTTCAATTGCATAATGAAAGCTGAATAAGCAAATAAGCAAACGATGAGCCGATATGCAAACGGCAATACTTACCAAGGTCACTTAGGTAAACGGGGTTGTCAGCCACACGTTGCCCGGCCTGAAGCATAGCTAGTACATTTTCTCTGTTTAAGGAAAAACAATTGTAGAAATCAACAGTCGATTTCGTAGACATAACAAAACAAATTATCAGAACCCATGCAAAATAATGACATGGAAATCATTTTTTGGTGAGTAGTGTGTATGCCCCATTGGACTTTTGGTTATTGGTGTCTGTACTTCCCCTCACTTACAGATAATCATTTAACATTTTGAGGGAGGACCTCTCGTCCGTCAACGGTTCCACTTAACAGGAAACTCGGTCCACATTCGGTTGTCTCATGCACCCTTTCACGTGCGGGACATCGTGCTGTATACTCGAACCCAAGTACACTACGTGGACAACCGAATGAGCCGTGGCTTCGGGCAGCATTGTGGGGAGAGTGTGGTAGCGATTAAGCCAAACCTTTCAGGTCACGAAAAAATGAGAACCGCCACTTTACCGGAACCGAACACGCACGCCTAGATTAGTCATTGCAAAT